CCCTCACATTTGTGATGGTCATGAACTATAAGAAGTTCAACCCACTCAAGATTGCCAGCAATGCCTCCTGCATCATCAACTGATTAGCACTCCTGGCCGCAGTCATTCATGAAAACTGGCACCCTAAAGGCACTTACCCAGAAGACCATGGGTGGCTCCTCTGGGAAACTGTAGCACAATGGCCATGGGACTGCCCAGATCATCATCCCTGCAACTACTGGCACTGTCAAGGCTGTGGGCAAGGCTCATCTCTGAGCTGAATGGGAAACTCACTAGCATGGCCTTCCATGTGCCCACCTACAATATGTGTGTCATGGACCTGTCCTACCATAGGAAGAAAGGGCTCAAATACCAAGAAGGTAATGGAGTGGACATTGGAATGTCCCCAAAGGGCATCCTGGGATACAATGAGGATCATATATCCTTCAACTCTAACAGTGACACCAACTCTTCAATCTTTGATGCTGATGCCAGCATTGCCTCAACAGCCACTCTGTCAAGATCATTTCTTGGTATGGCAATTAATTTAGCTATAGAAACTGTGTAGTGGACCATATGGTCCACGTGACATCCAAAGAATAAGATCCCCTGTCCACCCAGCCCCAGTGAAAGCATAAGCGAGAGACCCTCAGCTCAGATTCTCTGCCTCAACTTAGTCTCCCAACACACTGATAATCTCCTCAATTTGACATAATTTCCTTTCCCCTAAAGAAGAAAAAAAGTAGGGGTAGTGTAGTGGCTCAAGTGATAGAGCACCTGCCTACAAGCATGAGGCCCTGAGTTCAAACCCCAATACCACCAAAAAAAATTTAAAACAGAAAGAAGGAGAAAACAGGCTTGAAGAGCCCTATTTTATCATGTACATTAATAAAGTCTACAGCACCCCAAAAGGGAAAAGAGATGCTCAACATCATTAATCTTTTGGGAAATGCAAATCAAACCCACAGTGCGATACCCCTGCACACTTACTAGAATGATTACTATCAAAAATAAATAAATAAATAACAAGCATTGGCAAGGATGTGGAGAAATTAGGACCCTTGTGTATTGGTGAGAATGAAAACTGGTAAGGCACGGCCATTATAAAAAACAGTATGACAGTTTCTCAAATAAATTAAACATATAATTATCGTATAATCCAGCAATTTTACTTCTGGCCATATATACAAAAGAACTGAGAGCAGGGGCTCAAATATTTGTATCCAAATGTTCATAACAGCTTTATTCACAATAGCAAAAAGGATGAACTATCCCAAATGTCCACTGACAGATGAATGGGGTAAACAGAATGGGGTACATATATACAATGGATTTTTATTATGCCATAAAAAGGAGTGGAGGCCAGGTATATTGGTGCACATCTGTAATTCCAGCACTTGTGAGGCTGAGGCAGGAGGATAGTGAGTTCAAGGCCAGCCTGAGCTACAGAGTAAGACCCTGCCTTAAAAGGAAAAAAAAAAGAATGGGATTCTGACATATGCTGTAACATGGATGAGCCTTGACATTACTTTTTTCTAATTTCCTGTATGATTTCTTTAACCCATATGCTGTCTACAAGTGTTTCTTTATTTGTAAACATATAGCAATTTGCTACTTGTCCTTTTGTTATCATATTGCTAACAAATGTTTGATTGTATGTGACCAGAGAATATGCTCTATGTGATTTCAGTCCTTCAAATTTATTGAAACTTACTTTATGACCCAACATGTGGAAATTTTTGTAAGTATTCTGAGTTCTTTAAAATAGTGAGAACTCTCCACTTGTTGTATATTGTTATCTATCTTTATTAAGTTTATTACTTTTACTGCTCAAATCTTTATTGTCTATATTTTTCCCATGAAATACAGAGAAGCTTATGAAAGGCATCTCCCACTCTGTGAATTTGTTTCTACATAGTTAGAGGCTATGTTCTACACTGCATGCAGATTTTAAATGATTAAATATTGCTTGTGAATAGAACTTTAAAAAATCATTAAGTAGTAATGCTCCATTATTTCAAGCATATTCATAACTGCCTGTTGAAGCATTTTCATTATGACTACTTTAAAAGTTTTATCAGATAATTCTAACATCTCTGTCATCTTGATTGATGCTGTCATCAATTCATTGTCTTTTTTACATTCAGTTTGAGATCCTCCTGGATTTGGAATGAGTGATTTTCAATTGAAATTTGGGGACATTTTTGTAATTTGTCATAAGACTTTGAATTTTATTTTTAATTAGAATTATCATTATAAAAATACACATAACATAAAATTTACCATCCTAACTAGTTGGTTTTAAGTGTATTCACTATGTGGGTGACCATTACCACTATTCATTCCAGAATTTTTTATCATCCTGAACAGAAACTCTGTACCCATTAAGCAGTAACTACTCATTCGTCCTCCTTCCCAGCACTTGATAAACTCTATTCTACTTCCTTTCTCTATAAATTTGTCTTTTCTAGGTGCCTCATATAAATGGATCATATAATATTTGTCCTTCTGTGCCAGGCTTCTTTCAAGGTTTTCAAGGTTTGTTCACAGTACAGCATGTATCAGAACTTCATTCCTCCCCCGTACAATGAATACACGCTAATGAAAATGAAAAAAAGGACATCATTCCTTTTTACGACAGGATACTATTCCACTGTATAGCTATACTACACTTTGTTTATTCATCTCTTGATAGACCTATGGCTTTCAATAGCATAAGAGTCCTCATCACTATTCCTATTATCTTATGAAACAGCATTATTCACTAAACACATATAGATTTTTATTATTTTTAAATACCCTAAGCAATAAATTATACATTTCTATGATGATTTATAAATGTGTGATCATTTCATTTGAGAACATAAAGGAAAGAAAGGATTTTACAATATGCTTTTTCCTTAATAAATTTCAATGTCCTTTATAATCTCTCTTTACTAAACTAAGACCTATTTGTTTCAAGGTTGACTTCTGCTGTACATGTCTCTCATCTGGGCCAAAATGGAAGCATGACACTGCCATCTGTAAAAGGCAGGATGTCATTTAAGTTAATGTGCAACAACCTTTGTCACAGAGGAAACATCGTGTGTACAGACAAGCTCAAGGGAAACCAGCTCTGGTTTTCTTTTCTTTGAGCTGTTTCACAGCATGTGAGATGAGAACTTTGAAGAAATGAGACACTTTAAATATTTTCTCGCCCAATCTTGTATTTTTATTAATGTTCTTGAGTTTCAGTTCATGTTCAGATTCAGATTACGAATTGTTCTGTTTTTCTTTCCTCTTCAGAAGAATTTATGGGGGAGAGAGTGAAAATTAAGCTCACGCTGGCCCGTTTGGTTGTCTATTAATAGTGCCACTGGGTCTTAAGGTGTGATGAAACACCAGAAAGAAGGAAAAGGGAAGACTTGGGTCCAGCACACATACACAAGCAGGGCTGTAAAGTTTCTGAGAGCCCTACTTCACTCTGAGTCTTTTCTTTATATTCTGTGTACTTAATGCTACATGAAGACACTATTTTTAGCACCTATTTTTCTTAGTTCCTTCTTTATATTTTGATATCTGCATAAGCTATATTGCTTTAGATTCCTAGTGTGGAGGAAACACTACAAATCTATCTGCTTCTCACATGTGAAGCATGAATATAAAGTGAAAATTACAGCATAAATCTTCCAAAGTACTTTTCCTACATCTATAAATATCTCAGAGAAATTAAAATCCTTAGGAACCTAAAATTGGTCAAGGAAACAGATGTTTGAATTCTCCTAAGTATATCATAGGGAATAAACAATAATTCCAACTGAAGTGTATGTTAAAAAGATTTTCTACTATGTTTTTAGACTCTTTAAAGATAAAATTTTTGAATTCCCCCCCTTGGTCAGAAGTTTAGTGTGTGTGTGGGGGGGGTTGGCTTTTTTTTTTTTTTTGCAGTACTGGGGCTTTAACACACGGCCCACACCTTGAACCATACCACGAGCCCTTCTTTGTGATGGGTTTTTTCAAGATAGGGTTTTTTTGCAAACTATTTGCCCAGACTGGCTTCAAACTCTGATCCTCCTGATCTCTGCTTCCTGAGTAGCTAGGATTACAGGTGTGAGCCACTGGTGCCCGCTTTGGTCAGAATTTTTGAGTTTTAGTATTTATTTAAAAAAACACACTTTATCCTTTCTTTCAGATATGTTGGTATGGACTGAGAAAAAATATGTACCTAAAATTATGGGAATTACATTTTAGTATATAATTGTGCTTCATTTTGGTACCATATACTGTGCTTTCTCTTATATATTTGTGTATACTTCACATCCTCAACTAGACTATAAACGTGCAAGTAAGATACATCCTATTTCATAATTACATGATCCATTATGACTAATGTGGCACTTTGTACATAGTAGGTTTCCAATAAATATTGGTAGCTATGGAATGATGAATAATTGTGTAAATATTACTTTAACAGTGAAAAGGGAGACTATTTTATTCCTAATCATATTGTAATGAAGATTATTTTAAACTCTATGCAGTGATGATACACACAAATATTTAAAGTATTTATGTGCCTCAACTTGACATAATTTCATGATAACTTGATGACAATCACATTTAAATATATTAGAATATTTTTATAATAATGCTATTCTAAAACAGCAACTTTAATAGCTGGGAAAACATATTAATGGCCATTAGCCTGAAAGAAAACAGGGAACATTAAACATTTTTTTCAGAAATAAATGTATAAGTTTAAACATTTCACTATAATATTTATTAGCAAAGTTCAAATTAAAATTTATAAAGTACAAACTGTCAAATATCTCAGAGAATAATTTAGACATTTTGTAATTTTTCTCATGTACACATGGATGAATACTACATAAAAAAGATTCTTTTCTCCTTTACTGTCTTTGACTATCACTATCTAAATAACAAAATGAATCCTGCTTGAATGCATGACCGAGGCAATTCAATAGAAGGCCTTGATTATCAACCAATGTCTCAGTCAGTGAACACAAGTAAGTGATTTTTCTTACCTTTAGGACAGCTATAAACGGCACAAAATTAGCCCTTTGGAGCCCATTTTTATAAAGATCTGAAAGAAACAATTGGTGTTAGCATTTTAGTTAGCTTGAATCATATTGTTAGTTCATCTTTTAGCCTGGCAAATAAAGCTTTCTACTGATTTTAAAAATATATAAAGGAGCAAAGGAAAAAAAATAACTAAAATTGATTTCTATTCAGATCCTACATAGAATTTACTATAATTTTAATAAGAGGAAAAAAATTAACAGTAACAGAAAGAAGACCAAGAAGCAGTCAATCAAATTGGTTTTAAACACTAATAAGATCCAATAAAGAATGTGGAAAGATATCCCTTTCAGGAGGGGGGCAGGGTGGAGAAATGACCCAAACAATGTATGCACATGTGAATAAATGAACAAAAAAAGAAAAAATTTTTAAAAAATAAAGGTATGCCTTCCAAAATCCTAATTCAGTAATTCAACATAAAAAGATGATATAGTTAAAAGTAGTCAATACATGAATGTATAGGATTCTATAGAGAAAAGTCTATAAATTCTCAGTAAAGAATTAAAAGCTATGTAATAAGATCCAACGTTTTAGAAAACACATCAATAGACAGAGCTTCTTCTGTATTTATATCAAGGTTACAGATTTCACATCCAGGTAAAGAAATGCCACTTTAAGCTGGGTGGTGGGGGTTCACACATGTAATCAATCCTACACACTTGGGAGGCTGAGATAAGGAGGATCAAGGTTGAAGGCCAGCTCCTGCAAATAGTTCACAAGACTTCATCTCCAAAATAATCAGACCAAAATGGACTGGAGGTATGGCTCAAGTGGTATAGCACCTGCTTTGCAAGCACAAAGCCCTGAGTTCAAACTCAGTCACACCAAAAAAAAAGTCACTTTAAATGCAATTGCTTAAAAATTAAAACTGTATTCTTAAAAAACTGTAAAAAACATGCAATTATATCATAAACAGACAGTATTTTACTTAGATATTTTTCAATATATGTATGTGCCATAGTGTGTGTCTGTTTACAAACATACAGATTCATAAATGTACTTATTTTCAAGAACAAACAAATGGGCAACAAATTCTAAACTTTGCATATTTTTGCTTAAAAATGGATACTTCTGCTTGGGCACAGTGATACACACCAGTAATCCTAGCTATCAGGAGGCTGAGAGAGGAGGGTCATGAGTTCAGTGCCAGCTTGGGTTACATAGTGAGACCCAGTCTCAAAAACTAAGGGGAGGGGGAGAATTCTTGGAAATTGTTTTCGAAAGTTTGAAATGTGTGTGTGTGTGTGTGTGTGTGTGTGTGTGTTAGTTACTAGGATTTGAAATCAGGGCCTCATGCTTGCTAGGCAGGTGTTCTACCACTTGAGCCACTCTGCCAACCAAAAGTTTGAAATCTTACTACATAAAAAACGTTTCTTTTTATAGTTATTCTATAAAGCTATTAGATTTTTTAACTTATAAAAATGAGAACAGTAAAAAATTTTCTCAATAATAAAAATACAAATTAGATTAAATTGTGTTGCAATTTTTTAAGTATGGCATTATAGGATTTTTTTCATATTTCCTTATTTAGGGAAAATTTGATAACTATGATAGATTTCAACTGCCACATCTACTTATGGAAATAAAATATGGTCATTATGAAACATTTATTCTCTTTAGAAAAATATTCATCATAACATCATTATACCAAAGAAAGTATTTGCATAAGCTCTTTGGTTAATTAAGAACTAGAGGCTTCAATTCAGTTACATTTAAAATTTTTATTTAGCGATATCATAAAAGGAAAGATAATGCTGGCTAGGCTACTCAGATTTCAAAACTGAAAATCAGATTTTTTTCTTTCCTATAATCAACATCTCTAAGGAAGAAAATGGACAACATGTAGGAAATGGGTTTAAGCGCATGTATTTTCATAGTCATCCCCAATTACCAAAAGGTGCTGGGGAAGGTACATAAAGCCAATGCTGTGTGATAAGATTTGATAGCCATAACTACTAACAAGTGATAAAAATTGAAAATAAGATAATTTTAAAAACATATCAATGTTTATAGTAGCATTATTTGTAATAATTAAAGCTTTCAGCTTTATTTGTAATAGTCCAAAGCTGGAAGCAATGCAAATGTCTATCACTAGGTGATAGGATAAACAAACTGTAGCAAATCTGAAATGAAATATTACTCAGCAATAAAAAGAAGAAAGGATATACACAACAAAATTAATGTATCTTTAAATAAAAGAAGTCACACTGAAAAATGAGTGCATACTGTGTGGCTCCATTCATATAAAACTCTATAAAAGGTAAACTAATCTATAGTAACAGAAAGCAAATCAGTGGTTGTCTGTGGAAGGAAGGGCAAAGTTGGCAGTGAGAGATAAAAAAAGGGTACAAGGAAATCTGGGGGGTAGCTGAATGTTTACTATATGACTGTAGTGATGGTTTCACAGATAATATGCATGTCAATATTTTTAACTGTATTCTTTAAAATCTGTGTCTTTCATTGTGTATCAATTAAAAACTATGCACATTATTGAAAATCAAACAGCACAATGTTAAAGAATTAAAAATAAGTTTACACTAATGAAAGTTTACCGATGTTAAGATAGCATTTTGTTTTTACTTGTAGAATGACATCTTTCATGACATACTAGGCTCTGTGATAAAGCTGAACAAATGTACACATTTTAGAATGTTAATGACAATGAAAGATGTAAACCCACTTCTAATAATCTTGATCAAAGAATTTCCACTCACCAGCAAAGTTAAAACAGAATAATAATAGCCCTTAACTCTAAGAGACTTAATTTTTAAATGGGTTAAATTTTAAAATTCAGTCTTTGCAAAGACATGTTAATTCAAAACTTTATTCTCTGAGAAGTATTTTCTAAATAGAATTCTAAACAGAAATCATTTGGCTTGAAAACCTTTAGGTTTTTATAGGACACTTAAGTGAAAAAGAACAGTCTTCATTAAATTGAAGAGTTTTTCTGCAATTCAAATATTATGCTAATTATCAGTGCAATAGATCTATTTTCTGAAATGTTATTTAGCTAGCAAAATTTTTAATATCGGTTGTTTAATATTAGCTTTCTCAGACATAAAGATTTTATAATACATTTATATCAACATTTGTCATTATTTACTGAATCCTATTTAAAAATTCAGCAGTTCTTGCCTATGATTTTTTCAATGATCCCTGAACAGAGCTAAATGAATACTTGGTCATATAAGATAGAGTACTGGAATTATGGGACATTCATTTTGTAAAGAATGGCATAAGGACTCTAAATTCTCCACAATGTGTAACTATAATAATACTTACAAATGAAATACATGCAAAGAGGATTTTTAAAGTAATTACAAGAACATAAATACTTTGAAGATGCACATGGATATGCAGATCTTTCCCTTAAAATTCCAAGTATCAAAACCAAGAGGGTGAATAATTCTTATTTATATGTGTACAAACCAGCTTAGAGTAAGAAAAACATTTAAGACAGGTAATTAAAAAGCAATTTTTTGTACAAATTGACATAAATACTTATATGGTTCTATGGAGTCGATCTAATTTATCCTTCCTAGATATTCTTATGTTATTATAGATTAAAAGGGCATCTTTAGACCATTTAAGCAGCAATAGCCACCTATTTTCTTTTAAAAGAATACTAAAATTTAACCTGGCACAGTGACTCATACCTGTAACCCTAGGTACCCAGGAGGCAGAGGTGGGGAGGATTGCAGTTCGTGGCTATCCAGGCAAAACATTAGTCCCAATCTCAACTACTACAGCAGGCATGGTAGAGAGTACCTATGATACCAGCTATGCAGAGACCATAGATAGGAGGATCACAGCCCTAGGCAAGCCTCAGGCAAAACCATGAGACCCTATTCAAAAAATAAGTAAAGCAAAAAGGGGCTGCAAGCATTGTTCAAGTGGTAGAGTAAATGTCTAATAAGTGCAAGGCCCTAAGTTCAAATCCTATTACTGCCAAAAAAATGTATATATTTAGGTAAGTAGATAGGTAGATAACGTAAAACTAAAGTTCCAACAATATTTTACTGAATCCATACATAATATAGGTAATTATGTATTCCTATTTGGTAGTATAATGTAGCTTGATACTCAATTCAGCATACAGTTATGAATTCCTACTATGTGTCTGCACTGAAATGAGTGCTGAAGACAAAAGATAAATAAAAGGAAGAACCAAGATTTACAGAGTACCTACTAGAAGCCAGGCCATTTTCTAAGCATTTCACACAAATCACTGTAAACCTACAAAGTAGATAGTTTTATCTCTATTTGACAGATAAGGAAAATAATATTTAAGGTTTGGAAGATAATTTGCTGAATTCCCAGCCAGTAACTGTTAGACATAAAATCAGAGCCAGGATCTTTAATAATGCTAACCTTATAGACTCTTTCAGAAGCATGCTGATGACAGCTGACAGACAACCAGACTATAAATATGATACAAGTTAAAAAGGGATACAATATATAAACATAATAGACAGAGCAGGAAGCTTGGCCTTTTATCTGGAGATTCAAAGGAAGTTTTGCTGAGATGTCAATAGCACTGAATTACACTGAAAAATGAATAAGGTGCCACCAAGCTGAGGAGATGGAAAAGTACTCTAGGAAGAAGACTTGAATGAGCTTGTGATTTCCTTCCTTCTTTTCTAATACTATACACTCTATTGCTCACATTCTCCATCAAGCCATCTTTGAATCCACTGTGGTGGACAGACTTCTGGAGTGATCCTCACTCTTGGCTTTCATTGCTTTGTGTAAATGTGGGACACCAAGAACAAGGGAGAGTTATCCTCAAACTAGGGAACAAATGTAGTATGCTCCACAACTACTCCAGCTTAGTGCTTGAGGGAGGGGGGAAATCCACAGAGAAATGCATGAGAGTCCAGGGAGGAAAAGACAGCCAGAGTTCACAAGGCAGAGTACCAGAGAAAAGACAGCTACAGAGTGAGAGAGGCCTGGAGATCAGCTGAGGGTCCCCACTGAGTCCCTGGCTGAGTAGTGATCAGCACA